ATTTCAGACTGCTATAGTGGAGAAGAGATTAACTTTCTAGCTACAAGGTCCAAACATCTCTGTTCTTTTCAACTATTTTTTGCTCAGTTATTTGGATTCTTTGAGCTCATAAATTTCCCTTTCTCCCCAACGTAGCTGGGGCTAAGTTTCCATTACTTGCAACAGTATTACTTTTTAAAGGGAGCTGGCTTTCACTTCTTATGTGTCACCACTAAGATAGGGTGAATATTATTAAAAGGTTAACTCTTCATGGGAGTTAAAACTTCTTGGCTTCTGAACCCTAAATCACCTAAAACTTACCACACTGCACATCCAAGTTAGATCTCCCTAAGGTATATGCACAAATCTTGCTAGTGTTGAACACTTAGTTAGTCTTGTAATAACCCTGTGATGGTTTATTTTATGTAACTTAACTAGGCTATGGGGTGCCCAGATGGCTGGGAAGACATCCTTTCTGGAGGAGTCTGTGAGGATGTTTCTAGAAGAGACTGACATCTGACATCACTGGGCTAAATAAAGATCTGCCCTCACTAATGGGGGTGGGCACTGCTTAATCCATTGAGGGCCTAAATAGAACAAAAGGTATAAGATGAGTGGATTCCTTCTTCTCCATGGGCTGGACACCCATCTGCTCCTGCAGTGGACATCAGAGTTCTAGGCGCAATGCAGCTTTTGGACACAAATCTGCTTGTACAATTGGCCTCCCCAGTTATCAGGCTTCTGGACTGACACTGATGTACCCCTCTGGGTTTTCCTGGCTCTCTAATCAACAGATAGCAGAGCATAGGATTGTTTGGCTTCCGTAATTGTGTAAACCAGTTCTTATAATATATCTGTCTTTCAGGAGAACCCTGACTAATACACATTTTACGTTCTATCTGCAAAGTGTACACTCTCCACAGAGCTCAGAGTGTACTCAAGAGTGTCAGGAGTCTCCTGACTGTCCCAGTTACTGGCTCCTGCACAACCAAGCTCCACACTGCCTCTGCCAACATCTTTTTCTTGCAGTTGAACCAAGGACACTGCTGATACAGGTGTGGGAGCATGGTCTTTCTTACAATGCCTACTGCAACCTGGACTTTCTTACAATGCCTACTGCCACCAAGGATAGTGGCTGATACTCTCTTTCAAAGTGAGGTTTTTATAAAACCACCTCTTAATCAATGACAAATAGTTGAGTCTTGGATAAGGTTTGCAAGAATCTAGCTTTCTCTACATGAACTCCAAGGGATTGTTGTTCCTACAGAGAAAGCTGTCCTGCTCAGTGCCAGGAGAACGCCTCCCCCAGCCCATCTCTCCCTGTGGGTCTAGTCTTACCCTTGCTGTGGCAGTGGAGACTTGCTGCTCTTTAGATTGGCAAGAATCTCAAGGAAGGTATTTCTATAATTGCCTCAGAAAAGCTAGTTGTAGTGTTTAATCATCTTTGGAAGTGTTCCTTAGAGATCATCTGAAATTCCATTTTGGACCCTTATAAATCCTTTGTTTTGGTTTTAATCTTTGGCTTAAATCTTTAGCTCTTTTCTTCACTTTTATTCTGCGGGAATGGAGACATGAACTCCATATCATACACATCATCCTCCCTCCCTTCTTCCCTCCCTCCCTTCTTTCCTTCCTTCCTTCCTTCCTTCTTTCCTTCCTTCCTTCCTCCCTTCCTTCCTCCCTTCCTTCCAGCTTATGTAGTTGCTACTGTGATTCTTACCATATGTTAAGTGTCATTTTCTTCATAGGAGTTCAAGGAGCAAAGGACAGTACTGAGACACAGGTCTTATTGGTACTGCATACATGAAAAGTGCCATTTGCCCCTTCTTTCTCCTTGTTGATGTCAGGGGTGACAGTGGCTTCCAGGTTCTCTGGCTCCTACAGGGTTCTCATGCTGGTCAGGGTTTTGTTCCAAGATTTGTTCTAGACACTCATGGAGGCCTTCCATGATGGAGCAGGGCAGGTGAGTGTGCTGGCCTGTCTGCTTCCGCCCACACCCTGCTTCTCCTGGCGCTTCCCAGACACTTCAGGGGCAAACAAACAATAGAAAGAATGAAAGAAGAGGGGAGGAGAAGGAGAAGAAGGAGAAGAAGAGGAAGTGGAGGAGGAAGGAGGAAGAGGTGAAGAGGAGGAGGAGGAGGAAGGAGAAGGCAGCACTGTGTAACTGTGTGCTGCCAACCTTCAGAAATTCTAATGATGAAAGACTTAGTGCCGGCCTGCACTTCCTCTTCCTGCTAGGCTCAGGCTGCAGTGCTGGGCCGCGCCAGTCTCCCGTGCAGAGCCTGAAGCAAGCATGGATCAAGAAGCCGTGGGCAATGTTGTCCTGTTGGCTATTGTCACCCTCATCAGCGTGGTCCAGAACGGTAAGGGAAGTGTGAGACAGGTGTGCTCTGTGTGTGTGTGTGTGTTTGTGTGCATACAAACAATTTTGCTTTGTCTCTATTTGTTTCTGTTTATTTGACTGTGAAGGGTGTGTGTACTTTTATGTGAATGTGGCGTTTTCTTCCATCTGATCTTTCTTTCCTTTTAGTGGTGATGACTAGTCAGGTTTGCAGAGAAAAGGCAGCAACCCAAAGGGTTCTGAAGGAAAAGCCAACACAGAACTGTCTTCAATCAGCATTTAGCCATTAATTAATGTGGCCAGAGAAATGGTGGAAGGTGAGGAGCCTAGGAAAGAAACGTGAGACGCACACATTCACTCAGATGCCAGGCTTAACTAACTTTCCCGAATGCAGCTGAGGTTGTCTGTCATCTGTAGGCTGGATAAAAAGGGGGAAAAACAAATTTAGAGGGCGTAAAGGGGAAATAACTATCTCATTACTTTACTTCTGCAATTTTTTTTCTTTTGAAGAAAAAAATTCTTTTTCTCTAGCGAAGTATAATTTTTGAAGTATTTTTCATATTCATTATATATAGAGAGAGAAGGGAGAAGAGGGAAGATGAGAAGAGAATAGAGGAGGACGAGAAGGAGGAGGAGAGAGGGAGAGAGAGAGAGAGAGTTCGTTCATTTGCAATCTGCCTGCTCATTAACATCGCTGTCAGTATGAAACCAGACAGGACATCCAGGACTGAAAAAGGAAAGATGTGCTCTGTAGAACCATCTCCTTATAATTTTGAGCTGGGGGGAGGCTCAGAATATTTTTATAAGAATCTCCAATGGCTTTGTGTTTCACAGTTTATAAGATAGAGAAGGTAATTGCTAAGGCAACTGCCATGGCTTAATGACAATAGCTAAATATTCGCACACTGTCAAACTTTGGGACTTTCACTTTTGGAACTTTGGTGTATTCCAATATCTGTCCCCGTTCTGAGTGTGACAGGCACTGTGATTCCACCTTCTGGACCCAGAACCAGGCTTCCCCTCGGTCTCCCACACCAGAGAGCACAACTTTGCATGCTCCAAGTGTATTTTCTCCTGTGGAGCAGCAGTTTGCAGTTTCTGAACCCAAACATTTCAGTCTAAGCCGCATACTATTGAGCTGCAGCTTAGAAAGGGAACGAGTGGCTCATTAAGGTGCCACTTCCTCACCCCGTTGTTGTTTCAGGCAGGGTTTCCTTGGCTCTGTGAATCGATGGGGGCTTCGGTAAATATTCCACCTGCATGTGTTTCCAGAGACCTTGCTCTGCAAGGCATCCTGGCCACCTGGGGATACAGCAGTGAGCAAGACAGCTTCAGGAAAGGACAACAACGACAGTGGCCCACCCCCTGTCTCCTTGAAGGCAGTTGCATGGGTGGGTGGGCAGCGCCTGCTCAGCCCGGGGTAGAGCCTCAGCTCTAGCCTTCATCCTCTACTCTTCAGTATGACAGGGGACCCCTGCCCTCTCACCTACCCATGCAGGGCTGGGCTCAGCTGTGAAGTTCAAGTTCGTTCTCACCTGGTCCCTTTCAGTTCAGACAGAAGTCAGGGAAGCTGCCTGGCTCCTTGCGTGAACAGTCTCTTCTCCCCTAACTGAGATGACAGGGACCCGATCCCGATCCATCCCAAGGCTATTGGCATCTCCACAGCAGTGCAGCAAACCTTGAACAGACTGGAGGGGAACGGTAAGAGTCCTAATCGTTTTTGGCAGATGGGACGAAACCTTCTTCCATAGCACAAATGGGAGAGGAGGTACAATTACAGGTGGCCAAATATCAGTATCTTCACAACCACCTCTGAGGCCCTGGCCCCTCACAAGCCATGTGAAATAGATACGAGTGGAACACAACAACCCCATTGAGAGTTCCACAAATGATGCGTGTACTGGGGCCTTCCTGGTTGGGGAGATATAAGTGTAGCTCAAAGGGCAGCTACATTTTTAGGCTGGAGAGTTTTTCACACTGGGCAAACAGGAGGGTGGGCTAGCACGGCGTGCATGTCATCAGCCCTGTATCTTCACCACTAGGACAATGTGCGGCAGAGTGGCTTTCCACAGAGCCATCCCACCTACACGTGGGGAAGGGAGCTTCTGCTGCTCCTGGAGAGCCACGGAAGGGTCGCCGCACCCCTCTCAGAGGTTGGTCATGCTTTCCTCTCAGGGAAGGACATGAACTCCCCAGGCGGTGCTGAAATCCTCTCTAAGGATGTTTTGTAACTGCTCCATATATTTGTTCTGAGAGACCAGAAAATTCAAATAGGCTGAGGAATAACACCTGTACGTGTTTGTACTGTGAGTTTTTAGGCAAATGCACGGGTCTAGATGTACATCCAAGCTTCTCTTTGCAATTCTAATTAACCTCAAGGTTGCAACACTAAACCTACCTTGCAGAGTTCAGAGAAATATGCAAACACTGTGCTCCTCTCTCCCCACCCCCAACTGCCATTCTGGAACCTTCCTGTTAGCTTCGAAAAACATTTCCCTATCGTTGCCAGGCACCGAACACTCTGTGTATGTCCCAAGACAGCAAGGTACAGTACCACACGTGACCATGACAGCATGTGGCCACAGCCTTGGTACACTGTGCGGCTGGTTTGGGGAGGATGGCCACAGCCCAGCCTGCCTCCTGCAACTTCTTCCTCTGCCTTCAAATGCTATTTAGTCATCAAGATCTCTGAACATTGTTCTAAAAAATCCAGACCGGAACTATCAAAGCCTGGGTTCCCAGGGAGTACACAGGGACACATTTTCTATGAACCACGGCAGAGAACCTTCATTTTCTCTTGCTGAGGGGCTCTGACAGGAGGAAATCTGGGGAAAACACAGATGCTTTTCTACTTACGATGATTCCAGTTATGATTTTTCAATTTTGTAATGACACAAAACTATACTCATACATCCAGTCTGTGCTTTCCACCTTCAGTGAAAGTGCTGTGAGACGCTCAATAATGCAAAGCTGGCTTTGTGTTAGATGGCTTTCCCCAGCTGTAAGCGAATGCAACTGGTTTTGCATGTTTAGAATCGGCCGAGCTGTGCTGTTCCACGGGCTAGCTGGACCGAATGCATTTTTGACTTACTATAGTTTCAAGTTGTGATGGGTTTATGGGCAAGTAATTTCGTCGTAAGTAGACAAGCAGCTGCCTTTGGAGAAAATGATTTCTCCCGGAAACCACGCTAATGAGGTTTGAGACGGAGAAGGAGAGCAGTGGGGCAGAGGGCTCTGGGGCGCTGAGCAAGACATGGTGAAGGCAGTGCGGTGACAGCGGAGAATGCAGGGCGACGGTGGCCTCTGGCAGGACGGGCTTCTCAGCCCTCCGGCTGTAGAGGAAGGTGGGAGGAGTTAGCATCCTCCTTCTCTCCCAGGACAGGCGGCCTCCTTCAAATTTATTCTTGTTCTGTAGCCAGTAAGGAAGATGGCCTGGGCCATCTCCCCTTATTGGGGAGTGCTGTGCTGAGGAAGGAAATTGAGTTTCTTTGTCCCTGCCCCCCCAGCACTCAGAAGGAGCCTCACGGGCTTCAGAAGCCTTAGCCGGCTCACTCAGGGTCTGATGGGTTCTAGACACAGAATTACAGACTCATGAGGTTTCCTCCGTGTAAGAATCTTTACATTCCCGACTGCTCCTATATGAACACTACAGTAACTGGGAGCTCATACACACTGCGCCTGCCTTTGCTATGCCTAGGCCTATGACAGGTCCCTTTGGGCAGGCACAGTGCTTCATCTGTGCATTGTAGCATCTCCTGTAATCCCTGTCCCTATGAAATGTACACTATTACTCATTCCCATCTTACAGATGGGCAGCCAGGCCGGAGATGCTACACCATCGGTGGAAACTGCCAAAGCCAGTATCAGTAAAGCCGGCACTCAAACTTAAACATCTGACTGCAGAAAGGAGACGTTTACACCATTTATATTGCCTCAGATTACTTAACCCCAGCACCCACTACTTAGGAAGTTCTTTCTTATGGTGCGCTGGAATCTGTCGCCCTGTATCTGCTGTCCCAGGGGCCTGGTACTCTTGTCTAGGCAAACTTAGACTGCCTCTGTTGCTTCTATATTTACAGTGTCAGTTGTAAGCTCCCTTCTGCAGCATGTCATTTCTCAGTATTGAACTTTTCTGACCCTCACGGTTTTCACCTGCGAAGTGGAGTTATTAATAATCTTTATAAGTGGCCGTGGACAGTATTGCATGAGATAGCGCAGGTATGGTAGCTAGCAGTGCCCAGTACGCAGAGATTCTCCACAGCGGTTTGCAGCCCCACCTGCATGTGGCTCTTGCTAGTTTTGGCTTAACGTTAGCAGCCAGCCAAGATCAGTGTGGTGATGGTCTTTGGATGCGTTTCTGTAATCTACTGTAGGATCACAAGGGCATGGGGAGCGAATGGGCAGTGAGGAGCGGATGAAAGTAGCCAGCGCTTACACGTTTAGCTTAAAAAGGAAGGAGCGGCAGATCCTAGTGGGATAATGAACTGGGCAGACTCGCCTTTGTTTTGTTTTGGGGATAGGAAAGAGCTTCTGATGGTGCTTCAAGGATAAAGGGGAGGAGAAGAGGCTGAGATGTGAGCAGTGATGAAAAGCAAAGGAGGGTGAAAGGACTGGGCAGGATCATAGGTGGAGGGCTAGCCTGGGCAAAAGGAGGTGTTTATTTTTCTGAACAAGGAGAGGAAGATGCAGAGAAGGATACCCAAGTTGTGTTGCTAGTTGAGGAAAGAACCCAAGTTTCTTATCATTAGTCCTGTTTATGCATTCAGGGTAAGGGCTACCATCTTGAGTTTTAGAAAGATGATCAGGGTTTTCTCTTGTCCTCTCTGCTAAGTATTATATGGGACTTTCGTGAGAAAGGTACTTCATCACCTTGAGAGGTGGTGGTCCTGTCTATGGAGTGGGGACAGCTCTTCCGGCTCACAGAGCGTGTGCAAGGCTCAGTGAGGGCATGTGTGTCACAAGCCTACCCAAATGCCCAGAGGGCAGAAGGTCTCTTCTTTGTACAAGCGAGCCCTACAGATACGCTCAAAATGGGCATGTGCCTGCAGAGTGTATTTCCCCAAATGAAAGGCTTTTATTCATCTGTACAACTTGTAAGGGTGGTTTTATCATGCATATTTTATTTTATTTTATTTTATTTTTTGGAGACAGGGTCTTGTTGTGTAGTTCAGGCTGGCCTTGAACTTACTGTGTAGCCTTGAACTTGCAGCGCTCTTCCTGTCTCAGCCTCCCGAATGCTGGGATTACAGACATGCACCACCATGCCTGGGCTAGTGGCAAAAATAAATCTAATGTCTTTTTAGGAGGCTAATACAAGGTTGATGAAAGGGAACCCAACCACTTCCCCCTTGTTCCCTCTTGAAGCTGGAGCACAGGAATATAACAGGAAGCAAGAGGGCAGAGAGAAAGAGAAAGAGAAGAGAGGAATCTATTCCCACACCACCCAGTTTAGAGCCACATCCTGCAAAACTGTCCCCTCAGCATCCCTTCCCTGCCCACGCCCTCACCCGCAGCGGCTCTGTCCCCCTCTGTGGCTCTGGTTCCTCTGTTTAAGTCCTGGATAACTGCTTGTTGCTCTCAAGCAGACCTACGCTCTGACTGTCTTCCTGTGGCTCTCACGAAGGTCCCAGACACTGCTGAGCCCAGAGGACTCTTCCGGGTGGCCACCTCCAGCCCGGCCCAGGTCTTGCTCTCTCATGGAGGCTCACCTGCATGTCCCATCGAGCACCCCACGGTGCTTTCCCAGGCTCACCCTTCTTTGTCAGCCTCAGGGCAGTGCACGGTACCATTGTAATTGTCGTGTTCCTTTTGCTGGGAGCGATCTGTCTCCTCTGCAAGTGTACTTGCCAGGACACAAGCTCCTTGGCCACGGCTCTTTGGCTGCTCTGTTTTCAGATGCAAGCTAAGTGTCCAGTGTGAGACAGGTGACAATTGAGCCATGTCCCTGGAAGACTGGCCACCTTTTTGGGCCCCTCTGTGGTTCTGCTGGGTCCTGCTCCCCTGTCCTCTCCATTCCCCTGCCTTATGCAGGACATTTAGACTCACAAGTAGTTTTTGTTTTTTTTTTATTCACAAAGAGTTCTTGCCTCCGGACCTTTGCATATGCTCTTCCAGTGGAAAAGTGTGATCACCCTTTTGTCCCGGCTTCTTTCATCTACTTGGCTAATACCTGCTTGCTCTTCAGATTTTGTCCAAAGCATTATTCCCCTTAGGAATCCTTCTGTGACCCAAACAATGAAGGAAGCTTCCTCCTTTGACCCTTGATGGCACTGTGTCCTCGTAAAGACCCATTTGGGGGGTAGGGGTTGAGACAGGGTCTTGCTATGTAGTTCAGGCTAAATTTGAACTCATTATGTAGCCCAAGCTGGCCTCAAACCCCCTGTATTCCTCCTGCCTCAGCCTCCAGAGAGCCACTCTGGGTTTCAAAGACTCATTTTGATATCATCTTCCCTGGTGGAATTTCTGCTTTCCTTCTCTTTCTGTTTCTTTAGGCTTGAAAGCCTGAAAGCCAGGGCTCTCTATTGCTTGCCCTTGTATCTTCAGCACCAGACATAGTGATCGAAGAGAGCAGCTGCTGAATGCATTTTTGCTAAGTGATATTCGATGGAGGACATTTAGAGCTATTTGGAGCTCAGTTCAAGGAAGCATTGTAATGTTCTAATTTTTACAGTACAATAGCAGACTCCTAAACATGCCTGATGTGAACCAAACACAAACTTTTCTCTCTGGCAGCGTTCTTTGCCCACAAGGTGGAGCACGAAAGCAAGACCCAGAATGGGCGGAGCTTCCAGAGGACAGGAACTCTTGCCTTTGAGCGCGTCTACACTGCCAAGTGAGTCCAAACCCCGGAGCTGCTAACAGGGCGGAGATGGGGGCTTGGGGAGCCTCCTTGCAGGAATGAAAATCCCCTTCAAGGCCACACGCTTGGCTGGGCCAACCCTCAGTGTGCCCAGGAGGTGGGTTCCTGTAAGGTGGGACTTCTCCAGGGAGGCCTGGTGGACACAATTGGCATCATGTGTGCTTATGTGTTAGAAGGAAGGAAGTGGTCCCATAGGGTGGGGTAGTGACCTCCATAGTTCCAGAAACATCCAAGACAATCATTTAGTTGGAAGCTCCAGCCCAGAGGTGGCTTTGAGGTCCCCAGAGCTCCTTCCAAAGGGGAGTCAAGCCCACTGAGGAAGGTGTGTTTAGGATGACAGTAACAGCTCAGACAAACTCAGGGGTGAGGATGAGGATTCACCCACCAAGATGGGAACCCTGGGCCCTGCCTACTGTAACAGGGCAGCTTGGAGGAAAGGTTCCCCTTGGGCCACTGCTGGCTTCTTGAGGATAGCGCTGACTGCAAGGGAACTTGATGGGTCAGTTCCACATCAGCTCGCCAGATGCCTCCTCCTCAGTCCTTTACCTCACCTAAGTGGTGCTTGTGCTTTCAGTGACATGTAGGTGTTGGGAGAACTCTTGGGGGTGCCTTCCTTGTTGCAATTTTTCATTATTTTGAAAGTAAATGAAGGCCAACCCATTTTTCCATCACCTTCTACATTACTGTATGCCTGGTCTGGACCGACCACTCAGGGACACACTGGCAGGGGTGTCATGGACTGATGCTTGGGAACCTTGCCCTCTCTGGGCCTTTGGCCTTTGCTCACGCTACCTCAGCAAGACCCTAGCTCTATGCCCTCCATTCCAGCCACCTGCTCTGCTCCACTCCCCACGCCCCTCAGCACCTCTAAGATATTCTTGGCTGAACCACCTACAAGGGCATCCATTCTTAGAATCAGTGTAAGAAGTTTAAAGTGACCCAAGAGCCACTGTAGACCCATTTGGAAGCCAGCAGGAGAAACATGCAGGTTGCTATCGGCTTCTTTGCAGCATTTTCAAGGGGGATGCAATGGCTGTAAAGAAGGTGTCTGATCAGGGACAAAGCCAAACAAAACCTCTCTGAAACCAGAATCCAAAGAAAGCATAACCACCATGGAAGAGAAGCTTCCTCCTGTCCAGATGTCCAGATGTCCGGATGACTGCACCCTCACTATGATACTGCATTTTTTTTTTTATATTAATGGGGATTGAACCAAGAGCCTTCTCCCTGAGCTACATTCCCAGTCCTTTGTATATTTTATTTTAAGAATGGGCCTTACTAAGTCACTAATTTGCCCAGGCAGGGGTTGAACTTGTTGTCCACCTGTGTCAGCCTCTCAAGGGTGCTAGGATTACAGGCGTACACCACCAGCATTCTTACTTATGGTCTAGCTCCTCCACTCTGGAGAAGTCACAGTGGCATTTCACTGCATCCTCTGAGAAGTTAAAATTCCACTCTGCTGGCAAGGAATAAGAAACATGGCAGGCTGAGCTGTCCTGTTTCTGTCACTTGTCCTCAGGAGCTAAACTGCAGTTTCTAAGAAGCCAGTGTGTTTATACCTGGCCTCACCAGCTATCGGCCTCTAAATTGCAGAAGTGCACTTTGGCTGGTGGCTAGGAGGGTGGTTTGAAAATTCTGCAATTATACAGGGCTCAAGAGATAAGAAGGTGCAAGAGGGGAATAAGGGGTAATCGATTGTTGCTACTCACAGGGCCTGTGTGGGAGCTGCAGCCCAGTTTGCAAGACCTACGTGTCTTTGCTGCTTAACTCCTGTGAGAGGAGCAGCAAAAGGATGAAAGGAGAGGAGAGAATGCAGGGAGAGCCCAGAAGTCAGGCGAAGGTAGCAGAACTAAGAAGTAAAATTGCTCAGACACTGCTGTGGTTCTGTTACAAACACCACTTCCTCTGTGGCCCAACAATGGCATGAATGTGACGGTGTGCAGTGTAAAAAGGGCCTGTCTCAGTTACTTTTCTCGTTGCTGAGACAAAATACCCAACATCCAGTGTTAAAGGGAGGAACGGTTTATTTAGCTCACAGTTTGTAGAGGTTTCAGTCCTAATCACAACAGTCCGTGGTAGTGGAAGATAGCAACAGCAGTGAGATGGAGGCAGACAGAGAGGCAAAGAGAGAAAGGGGGTGGTGGGGGAGAAAGAGATGGAGATAGAGAGAGAGACAGAGACACACAGAGAGAACAAACATCTTTCTGTCCTTTGTATTGTATGCAGGCTACCTGCCCTAGGGCAAGTGTAGCACTTACACCCTTAATCCCAGTTTTGGACCATGAGTCAATCACAAACTCTAGATTTAGCCACCTCTGAAAGGCATAATTGCATGAGGCTTTGGGAGGATGTCTAGACACAAACCATAACAGGGCCAGAGATCAATGCAACAGACTACTTACTGCATGCTGGCAAGAGCCAGAGGCACCCAGGCTGTTTGCCTGTGCCGCAGACCACTGGGAGGGGGTTATGTGTTGTTTTAGTCGATGTTGTTCCCAGAAAAACTTCCTCAAGGGCCTTAAAAATGTGAGAGGAGGGTGTAAGATATCTATGGTGGTGCAGGGGGAAAAGAGCTTGTATTTAATCTTGTTATCCAAAGCATAAGAAATGAAGCTGCATTCATTTAAAATAACCAAATTGGCAGTAGCAAATGTACTGCATATAATTTATACATGAATATACCTGTCAGAGTTTCATGATCAAAACCATTGGTTGATAGGATATGGGATTGTAAATGTTTAGATGCCCTGGATATGGAAGAAAAATGTAAAGAATAAGTGATACTAGTGGGTTGATGCATTTTATTTCAGCATAAAATATGACTGCTGACAGAGAGAGAGAGAGACGGAGGTTCTGAGGCAGGGGATTAACGGACATTCCAGCTGGCATGGGTGGTTCATCAGCTCAGACTCAACCTTGATTGCTGACTGTTCCACCATCCATCTCCCTTGAGGGTAGCACTGAGTGAGGGGTTGAAGAGTTGGACATTTTCTGGTCACAAGTACAAAATCCCCTTTTGCTCTGTTCTCAGAGAACAAACACAACCTTGGGCAGAGTTTAGCTTTGGAGAAAAATCTTTAGGTCAGTTAGTTGACCTAAGGATTCTTCTTGTGAGTACAGAAAGGAAATTGTGCCTCTGGAGATGCATAATTTCCTAAAATGTGTTCTCTGGATTCCAACTCCAGGGGTCATTAACAAGTGTTACAGGGAAGGACAATTTCTTGACACTCGGACTTTTGAGGACCTAGGACATATTCAGGGCACTCTGAGTCTTGGGCCTCTAAAAGGCGATGTCTTAGTTAATCACAAGTGGCCCCCACCTCCTTGGTTTTTTTCTGAAACACATTTTGAAACATTGCACGCTAATGTCACTTCTCCTCCTGTATCTATTGGCACCCACTCTAGCCTGACTTTCAAGTAGTGTAGACGTGTACAGTTATCTGAAGGCAATAGGTGTACAATGACCTTATCGATTAGTATTGATACTATTTATTGACTGTTATTCATAGTTCTGTATTCTAAATCAATCCAAGCCTATTAACAGGACCTTAAAGCATTCCTCTACTGTATTCCTAGAGGTGGAAAACATGAAAAGGAAAACAATACAAGCCCCTTTTTCCATAAAACAGGAAGAGTATAGGGCATCAGATTGAACATAGCACAGCAAATTATTGCAAGATCTGCTGAGCAGCTCATATTCAAGAAATATGGGGGCTGGGGATTTAGCTCAGTGGCACAGTGCCTGCCTGGCAAGCGCAAGGTCGTGAGTTCGATTCCCAGTACGGGAAAAAAAACAAAAAAAACAACAAAAAGAAATGTGAGTCAAAATGGGTTTGTCAGTTTTGCAGAAAAAGTGGCACGAAAATCCCTAAAAGAAAATCCATAACAATAATAACAATGGCAGCAGCAACAACAACAGCAAGATGTCATTAGAAAGTGACATTTCCACTGGGGGAAGAGAGAAGACACAGGAGCAGTAAAACTACTATTTACTGAATGATTCCTGTGCGCTCCACAGAGCTTCCCCTCACTGTATTCTCACAACTGCCCAGCAGGGTGGTTGCTAAGGTCTCCCTTCACCTCTTACAGCTGAGCAAATGGAGGTGCTGCGAGGCTGGGAAAAGTACCTGCATTCACACAGCCGAGTGGGAGCCTTGGCTTTGGCCTTGGGTTGTGTAAACCTATGAGCAGCAATGTAGTTCCACGCAGGGCTCGGCTGTGTCACTGTCCAAAGCTCCTTGAATTCAGCCCGGCAGCAGTGCCCCAAGGTGTGTGTGTGGTCGGGGGGCAAACTGGCTTGGAGATTGAGATGGTAAATATACCAGAAATCCCGAATGGGGAGGACAGGCTGAAACCACATTGAGAGATAAGACTCAGGGAGTATTCTGGAAATTGCAAGAAATAATCCATTCAATGATGGGAGAGTTTCATTCAACTCGACAGATCGTGATTTATGGGGGCCCAAGGTGACTTGAAATAATAGGAATGATTAAAGAACGGATTCAATGTCAACACTGGACAGTTCTCTCTAATGAGAAAATTCCTGGACAACAAAGAATTATTTCCCTTTTAAGCAGAAAAAAAATCACTGCTTAAAAGCAAAGAGACCTAAAAACATGAGAATGAGGAGGAAGTTGGGAAATAGATTTTCCAACTATAAGAGCATAGATATTATATGCCATTGACATAACATGGTATTCAACCACCTGAAAAAGTTTTTTTCTCTAGTTTTCTTGAGCTGGGAAATGAGTTACATTTTCTCAGTCCAGAGGCCGCAATTTTGTGCCTCTGCTAATGGATAATAGAATAGAATAGAATAGAAGTGAGGCTGGTGCACCTTACATCTGTTTGTTTGTGGTATCCAAATGGACCCCTTGTAAAGGTCTCCTACCTCTTGGAGTTTTTACTAGATCAGTGAAAATTCAAGGTCACCAGCGGTGTGTTCTTCCTGCTCTGAACCTGGCTTAGGATATGCCTATCTCCCAGGACAGGATGCATGGACTCTTTGCCCACTACATTCACTGACTTCTCCAGGGAAGGCTATTTTGGCCCTCAGGGGGGCATGAAGGTGCCTGTGACCAGTGGAGGACAGTTTGATCTCTTGGGGTCTCTGCAGTGTATGGATCAAGTGCTTCTTCTTCCACATGCATTAGCAGCTTTCCATAACTTTAATGAAATACATGACATGGGCTATTTATTAAGTAAATAGGGACTCTCAGTTCTGGAGGGGTGAACACATCATAGTAAGAACACAGGTCAGAGTGAGTGAGTGTTCATATGTCAAGCCAGGAAGGAGAGACAGAGAGAAGGAGAGGGAGAGGGAGACCCAGAGGTGTGTGTGTGTGTGTCCCCAGTTCTTTTTTAAATTTGTTTTTTTTATTAGCACGTTTGCAATAGGTAACGATTACATTCTTGTGGAGAGCTGGTAAATATACATAAAACATCTTAATTCTTTTTATGTTCCCTTCCCCTCCCCTCCTTTCCCCTCTCCTCCATCTCTATTTTCTCTTTCCTGTTGCAAAAGGTCTGTCTCCCTGCTTCCTATTATTTATCTTTATTTTGTACTCAGTAACCTAAAGGCCTCCCATTAGGCCCCACCTCCTAAAAAGCTGCATAGCCCCTCCCAGTAGGGTCACTCCAGGGACCAAACTTCTAATGCACATATGGGAAGTGTTTGGGGGTACGTTTCCCATATTCAAACAGCATATAGCAATCAAGTTTTTGATGGTAGCAGTTTAAAAAAAGCAGTGTGAAAAAAATCACATCTTTACTTTTACCTATATAGTTTGAACCCCATTAACCTGTGGTCCTCAAACTTTAGCATGTGCATGGAGGGCTTATGAAAAACCAGATTGGTGAGCCCTTTCCTCAGTTTTTAATTCTATAGATCTGAGATGGACACATACATTTCCCTGTCTAACAAGGTCTCGGGTGGCTATGCTGACATTGCTGGAGAAATGATACACACCCTACATTAGACAATCTACTCCTAGAGCTTCCTTGGATCTCAGAGCTGTTTTCAGCCTCTTAGTTTTATAGACAAGGAAACTAAGTCCAGAGATATTGCTTTGCCTATAGTGAAATGCTGGTTAAAGACAGGATGAGGACTTAGTCCTAGTCAAGCGCCCTTTCTGTTGTATCCCACTGCCCCCTCTCATATGCCTGTCATATCTTGTTCCATTGGTCTTCCATGTTTATCGTTTATTTATTGCTCTAATGTAGACTGCAAACTCCTCATGAGTACATCTCTTGTTTAACTTAGCATAGTTAAAGACTTAACAGCCTGGACTTGGAGAAAGATTGATCAAGTACCAACCTGGCTTTACCTGGTTGGGATACCCTGGGCAAGTTGTTCTGCCACTCTGAGCTTCAGATTCTATTCTGAAACATTAGCAGAACTGTGGTAGGAAGAAAAGTGCCTCACTCTCTCCATACATATCCACATCCCTAATCCCAGGAATTTAGGAGTACATTATGTTTCCTGAAAAGGAAGTATTCAGGTTGATAACCAGGTGCCTTTGAAATAAAGAGGATCACTTTGGGTTACTTGGGCAGGACGTGGTGTATGATTACAAGGATCCTTCAAATGGGGAAAAAGGAGGCAGAAATGATTTAACACAAGAAAGACTGGAGCTGGGGCTCAGGGATAAAGCTCTTGCCTAGCAGGCTCCAGACCCTGGGTTCTAACTCCATCACCACAAAAGCAACAAGAACAATGACAACAGCTTTCTGACTCTGTCTACCTTCCTGAATAAACACCAGGAAGACTCCAACACCCATTCCTAGCTTTGAGGTTGGAAGGGACCACAAGCCAAGGAATACTAGAGATTTTGAGAGGTGGGAAAGGCAAGGAAAGGGACTTTCTCGTAGAGCTCCAGAGGGAACACAGCCCGGCTCACACCTTGGTTTCAGCCCAGGGAAATCCATCAGAGGCTCTTGACTTCCAGAACAGTGAGATATGCGTTTATATTGTTATAAGCCACCAAGTTTGTGGCTACTTGTTAAAATAGCCGGAGGAAACTCATACAGTTGTCTTGTATATTCATGGGAATATGGTGAGTGTAAAAGAAAAGATGGGAGGACACATCAGTGCCATGCCTAGAGTAGAGTGAACCCCCTCCCCCCAGGGAGGCAAGGACCGTGCGGGGCACACAGTGATGGTACCACCAGCGAGCTAACTTTCCGCATGAACTTTTGTGAATGGAGCCTGGCTTCTTTACAGCGTGAAGATCACTTTCTCAGCCTGGCTTGTAGATGTGGGTGGGTCTGTGTGTACCGCATCAACTTAGCCGAGCTTTTCTCCTCTGCCACCCTGCCTTGCTTATGACCACACCCTGCCGTCTGCATCGCTGTCGTTTTAGTTCTAAGAAGTGCACAGGCACTGCCAGGAACGGACACCTGCCAAAGTGAAGGCATCGGGAAACCCAGTCTCTGATCAGTTCACCGTGGGAAGAGAGTTAGTGGATTCCGAATCTGTGCTTGCTTCCCGCCGTTGTCTGTTGCGGACGCGGCGGCTGCTGCTTGTCTCACTGGGTAGATGTGAGTGGAGCGATGAGAGGCGTTGTGTGGCCCTTGTGCCACGGTGATTATTAACTGGAGGTTTTGATTCATTTTCAGACCACATTGAGGCGATGTGTTTTTCTGATTTCTCTCCTTCTTCTTTATCCTACAGCCAGAACTGCGTAGACGCATACCCTACATTCCTGGTGGTGCTCTGGACTGCGGGGCTTCTTTGCAGCCAAGGTAACTCGGACTTGCCTTTGTACGCTCTTTTCTGTAACATGTATCTCAGGGAAGTTCAAGGGGCGGGTGTGCAGCCCAGCGCCCTTGGGAGGCCGGGCTGCTGGCCCGCTCCCTGCCGCGCAGCGCGGTGTGATAATGCATTGCTAATGCGTGCTCCCTGGTGGCTGGTTGAGAGCTGCGCACTGACAAGGGTGGTTTAAGGCTAAATGTGACTGAATCCACGAGCAGTGTTAGCTCAGATACAAGGGCATTATAAATGAGAGTGCCTGAAGGAGCTATTCCGGGACGGCTGTCTCTGGGCTCTTCGGCTAATAAGCTCCCGGCGCCGTGGCGCTCCTTCGGGCCTGTGCCTGTGGAGCCCTGGGCTGGATTCCAGGTCCCCAGCCACCCCAGGGTTATCAGCAGCCCACAGTGCTGACTTCAATAAGTCAGAAGTGCAGATCAATTCCCAGAGCTGATTTAAAATTGAATGGAAAGCAGAGGCATATTATTTAGGAATCTTGGGAGATTTAACACCCGACAGGCTTGGCCACGGTTGGCATCTGTCTGATGGCAGCTTGGTCGGAGCAGGCAAGCTTTTGTGGATCAGCAAGGCCCACATGAAAAGGCCACAAACAATCCTCTGATGAGCTGTTTAATCCTTACCACCTTCTCCCTACTGTGTGAAGCACATAGAGTAGAAATAAGCCCCGCCCCCCATTACCTTTGAGGACACTTTGGTTCAGGGAGATGAAGTCACTTGTTGAAGGTTCCTCAACTGCTGAGCCACAGAGGCAGGATCACAGCCCCTGTCTTCCGGTTCCAGCAAATTCTGGATTTTTCACAAGTATCTGCTTACTTTATTCACTTATATAATAAATCTATACAGAGCATCTACTATATGCAAGCCTTATACCTGGATATATGGATATAAATAAGACAGCAGCCAGGCACAGACTGACTGGCAACGGACCCTAGAAAAGTGGGTAACTGACTACACTGTTGCCAGCAGTCAGACATGCCAGGAAGGACAGAGGCCAGGAACACCCCATCACCACCTTCTGTGCCTAGAAGGTGCCAGCGATCTTCCATTTTCCAGTTCCTATCCTGAGTGAAATGAGAAACGATGTCTAGTGCACTTGAAAAATCAAGTCAAACTCCGCTCATACTAGGAGTCCTGGCTCACTTTATGTCCTAGATGGTGCTTAACTGAGATGAATCCACAGTGGCTCTAGTGAGGTAAATTCAAGGGAGCTTGATGGTGCTTGGAGCCTGTCAACAGAAGCATCGGCATTGCTGGGCTCAAGCGCATCTTCACACTGGTTGAGGGTTGTCATTGCTTCTGAATGTACCAGATGGTAGAGTTTTTCAGCTGAAAAGAGCCATGGAAATCATTCTAGCTCAAAGCCTACACTTTACTGAGCAGGAGCCCAAGTCCCATTGATACAAGTGGCTTGCTTAAATTTCAGGGGGGTAGAGCCTGGATTTGTCACCTCTGGTGGCCCAGATTCTCACTGGTATCCCCGTCATCCCCTGCAGAAGGACAATGGATATGGAGCTGTTCCAAGCTAATTTCTATTAGCTCATGTTCAATTGACTTCCCATTGAAAGAGAAATGGGCCAGAAAGTTAGATCAGAGCCATCCAAGTGACAAAACGCAGGAGCCACTCTGAGGCAAATCAGATTGCGACAATCTTGTGTCTTTCAGAGGACAGGATGAAGCACAGCTTCTTAGGTGTCCCTGTTTAGTTACCTGCCCCAACACAGCAGTATTTTGGAAGGCAGGAGTAGCTATGGAACAAACTGAGCCTTGGGGCATAACAGGTTAGGGGCAAATCCAGCAACTCCATTGCTAATGTGGGCTCCTACCCTGTCTTATGAGCCTTGGTTTCCTCGCTGGAAAACAGGACCTTCAGCCATTCCTAGGATCTCCCCGGGGACTTGCAGGAAGTATCGAGGACATAAGCGAGGGAAACAGCATGCGAGAAGCCCTGACAGTGCGCAGCATACATCAGACTGAGCCTTGTACCTGCCCATGTCTGACTGTTTCTGACCCCCCAGAAAGGCAGTTTTGTATGGCTCAGCTGAACAAGCTCAGTAAATGTTATTATTGATACGGCTGGTGGTGGTAGATTTGCAATCAGAAAGACCTGGCTTTGACTCCTGTGATTATTGCCTGACTTCTTGATCCATTTGACAAAAATTTTTCGACAGTCTATATATATCCGGCACAAAGGTGATCTAGGAGGAGACAGTTGTCCTCATGAGTCTTTTGGTCTGAGCTTAATTTCCTCCTCTGTCAAATGGTGACAGTAAAGTGCTCCTTACTGGTGTCTGGCAGGCTTACAGGCCCAAGTTCCTGAGTGCCAGGGAGGCGACTGACATATAAAAGTAATCAGCAGCAGCAGTTAGTTTGGTATTTAAACAATGCTTGAAGGTTTTCCAAATGCTTTCATATCTAGGGCCCAATTTTACTCTCACTCGTTCCCAATGGGAGAAAGGCCATAACCAGCCCTTTGTCCATATGCAGAATGAGTTAAGCACTAATAACACTACTCCCGGGAGAGCTGGATTTTCCAACTTCCAACTCCAAGTTCAGGACTCCCTAAAGTCACCGGGGTGCTGCTTGGAGCTCTTTCCTAAGGGGCAAGAAGGAAGAGAGAATCTCCTTTCTGATTTAGAAACAGTAGCAACTGTTCAGAAGGGGTGAAGCATATTTTACTGGGAACCCCAGGAGTACAGGATGTGATTTCAAGAGCCTCAGGGGTAGAGATCTGGGTTCAAGTCCTGCCCTCCCCTCCTAAATAACTGACAGCTTCACACATCCCTCTGAACAGCTGGGCCCAACTTTCCATTCTAGAAACAGCACTCTGATGCCTGGTATGTGGAAGGAGTCACGCTAGCTGCAAGGCAGAAACTTCATAAACCACGCCATGAGGCTGGTATAAGGTACTGATAGTATGAGCATTAGAATTCTGAAGCTTCTGTCAGCCCTTTGGTTTGTATCTGAAGTTCACGCCAGCCTCCGCCATCAGAACCTGTGGCCTCTGCTAGATCTTGTGGCCAGTGCTGATCACTTAATGACTGCATTGCTTTTGTGTTTAGAAAACATGTTCAGGTGTCTGTGAAACTAACCCGGGTGTTTTCATTTTTCCCCTTAGCTCCTGCCGCCTTTGCTGGGCTGATGTACTTGTTTGTGAGGCAAAAGTACTTCGTGGGCTATCTGGGGGAGAGAACGCAGAGGTAGGTCCCTGGGACTGTTGATGAACTACCGGGATGCTGCTTACTTCTCTGGCAGGAGAGGTGATAATTCTGAATGATATTCTGGCCACTGTTTAAGGCTCTGAAATTTCCCTTGGCAGTGATGGGGGTGACTGTCCAGGATCATTATCCTCTTCTTTCTGAACTTTGAGGGCTCTGAAAATGCAGCTGGGGACTTATCTAGTTTTTCCATTAAAACCTTTCTCCATATCGCATTGGACTAACACAGGTCCTTTAAAGCCATGGGCTGCCCTTTTGCAACCCCATCCCTGCCACTGCCACCTTTGCAAGTTGGGGTAGAATGACTTTTTATGCCTGGCTTCCCCAGCCTCCTGTGAGTAAAACATTTCCTTTGTTTGTTGAGAGAAGTGAGATCTAAAGCTTGCACCTTGTGATAAGTTCTCTTGAGCAGCAGATCTCCCGGGGACTTGCAGGAAGCATTGAGGACATAAGTTGCGATCATGTAGCTGTGAAGAGGGTTGCCGTTGCTTTGCTTATGGAGCTTGCCAGCCAGGGAGCCCTGAGAAGCCCTCTACTTTCACGACACCTGCCCTGGGAAATCCGGGTCTTAGTGAAATAAGTTACGGTCATGCCGGGAAGCCACCGTGCGCTACAGGAAGCTCCCACTTCCTTGGAGGTTGAAATTCCTGATGTCCCAGAGCACAAGAGAGCCGGGAACACACAGAGGCTGCTGACCTCAGCCTTCCTCATCCTGTTTCCCCCTTGTCTGCATTCACCCCTGCTCTGTCGTTTACAATAGCACCCTCCTCCAGTGGATAATGGGCTCTTTGTGTGGACAGAATCCTTCAGCGCTGACAAAGGAAGTGACATCCTAGGATGTCAGGAGGCCAAAGAGCCGCATAGAGGGAGGCTGGGACTTTGTAGCTCAACAACTCCAGGGGGCTGGTGAGGGCCTGGGCTGTGGCCAGGAAAAAGTTAACTGTGCTTATGGGGACTCCTTAAGCCCATCTCTGCCTTCCTTCCTCTCTAGTGGCATTCAACTCATTCTCTGCCCCGCACTTCCTTTATCTCCCGTGTCCTTATCAGCGCTGTCCTCCGCGCTGTCCTTTATTCTCTTCTACCCCGGAAAGAGAATTGATTGGAGGTTATTATGAGTAGGGGGAAGTTAAGTGCCTACTGTGAGGTAGGCGGGCTCTCTCTCTTGGATTAGCTCTCTCTGCAGCCCCATCTTCCTCAGAAGCCCCAGGGATTTGGCTCAGGTACCGTTGTTTTTCTTTCTCTGTCACGCATTTGAATTTCTGGACTTGCTTTAGTTCTAAGGCAGTCTGGGGAGCATGACAAAATTTGTCCAACTGTCCACAGGCCCTTTAATTTTTTTTTTTTTTTTTGGTCTTTTTGAGACAGGGTCTTTCTAGGCAGTTCAGGCTGGCCTTGAGCTCACTTTGTAGCCCAGGCTGGTCTGGAGCTCACAACGATCCTCCTGCCTCAGCCTCCCGAGTGCTGGGATTATAGGTGTGTACCACCACACCCAGCGATCTAATTTTTTCTTGTGGTGGTAGTGAGGGTTCAGCCCGGGAAGTGCCAAGCTGTACCCTCAGTGTTGTTTATTTCTTTATTTTTTTGAGACAGTCTGGCCAAATTGCCCAAGCTGTGCTGGCCTTGAACTTTCAATCCTCCTGCCTCAGCCTCCTAAGCAGCTGCCATTATAGGACATGCCTTTTTAATTTTTCAAGGTTTTGTTAACCAATCAGTATTAGAGAATGGATAGACATTGGCAAAGATGAACAACAGGATACAGGATGAAAGGAAACCATAAAAATATTTGGTTTCTTTGGATTTCACTGGCATTTTAAATTTTTAAAATAATTTTATTAGTGCATGATGGCAGTTCGTGCAGTTTATAGTCATCTTGGGGTGTGATTACGTGGGCATACCACAATTTGTTTCTTTTTTTAAAATCTGACTCCCCTCCAATTCTCCTACCCTGTTTTTCATTTTTGTTGATATTATTACTCATAGCTCATGTTACAGCATGTAATGTTTACATTAATTGGGGCTATTATGTTCCTATACATGGCCTATCTTTATTCTTATTTCTCCTTCCCCTCCTCCTCACCCCTCACCCTTGTTCTCTTGGCCCACTTTTCTATTGCAAGAGATCCACCTCCTTGTCCCCTTCTATCCATCCTTTATTATTCTCTTTGCTTGTACTTGGCCTCACTTAAATGAGAGATACTGTACAGTATTTAAGTTTGTGTGTCTGGTTTATTTCACTCAACATTACATTTTCCAGGTTTTTCCTGGCGTCTGTTTTCCTACAAACGATCTGAAATTTGTCATTCTTTATAGCCGAGTAGTATTCCATTATATATAGGTACCACATTTTCCTTATCCACTCCTCTGTTGATGAGTATAGACTGCTTCCAGGATTTAGCTATGGCAAATTGTGCTGCCATAAACACTTATATGCAAGTATGATGTCCTAAGCTCTTTGGGGGAGATACCTAGCAGGGAAATAGCTGGATCCTAGGGAATTTTTAATTTCAGTCCTTTGAGAAATCTCCACAGTGATTTCCATAGGGGTTTGAGGCACATCCATGCTGTTTTCCATAATGGCTGTATTTATTAATTTACATCCTCACCACTGGGCTTTCTTGATGAGACCAGATCACGGCACTGGCAGGTGGGTGTCCGGTGAGGGCTGCTTTCCTTCCAACGCCGTGCCTTGTCGCTGTGTCTTCGAGGGACGGAAGACAGCAGGGCAGGAGCCCTCGTGCCCCTTTCAATCTCTTTATGAGGTCACTGACTCCATTGTGGTGCGGTCACCACCTAGAGGCCCCGCCTCCAAGCGTGGTCACTATGGCAGCTGAGTTTCAGTGCACGACTTTCAGGGGACGTCTTCAGAGCACGGCTCTTGGCGACTCTTAGGGACAGTGAGCTCAGGTAACTGCTTCTCCTTGCTCATCCACTCCTCGCTCACTCAGCATCCGCTCAGGGATCACCGGCTCCGTGCCCGGCGGCATGTCAATTACCAAGCGAATCACAAGGAACATCCCAGAGCCCAGGGTCCCCTAAAGTCAGGATATGCTACAAGCGCTTATTTGTTGGATACGAGCTGCTCATACATGGCATACACACAATAGATTCATTTTTAAAATGCAAAAGCACTGGTCCCTTGCAATCATTTCTCTCCCCTGGCATCATTCTCTTAGAGTCCCTGTGTTCCTCCAGATGTGTTACTTCACCAAAGCTCGAGGGTGAGTTACTGCTTTTGGAAACCCTGGGCACGTATGTGAATATCAAGATCGGTGTTTCTGAAGATGAAACCCACCTGACAACTGCATTAGAACCATCTGAAGGTGCTTATTAAAAAGACAGATTCCCGGGCCTGAACCTGGGTTTTTGAAGTCAGAATCTCTTTGTGGGGAGGCCCAGGCACCTGCATTTCAACATGTTCAGGTGGTCCTGATATGCTGGAGTTTGGGAACCCAACTGTCCCTGCCTCCCTTCTGAGAACGGTTCCTTTGTTTGACAAATACAGAGGGAGGCCCGCTCACTGGAGATTCACAGATGAATGCAGGATTCCATGTCCTGCTGTCATTCATGGAGCTTACAATTTTTATTTCCTTTAGAAGTCAACAGTCTTAAAGAGACATTTGCTCATTGAAAAAGAACAGCCTTTTATTTTTATTCTGTGCACTGCTTAGGATCAAAAGCCAGGTCCTGGAGCATGCTAGGAAAATGCTGTAGTGCTGTCATACTGCTTGCTCCAAGAACAAAAGGGACCGCGATGTGTTCTGTCCTCCTACTGACCTTGTGTGCACACTGAAAATTGGGGTGGGGGCTGCACCTGGGGAAGCGAGGAGGGTTGTGACTGGCTGGAGGCCTTGTGGCCTTGAACTGGGGCTGGAGCTGTGGCTTCTGGGTTCCTGATTCAACATCTACACTACCGCGCTCATCCTAGAAGTTTCCAGCATGTTCTAGATGGGAACTGTTCAGCATAATACTTTATTTAGTTTTCACATAAGCTTTGTACAGCTTGTGGAAGACCCATTTCTTTCAAAACTAGTAACCAAATCCTGGTCTCCAAAGTCTAAGGGAGTCTTCAGGAAATCAATGTGGTAAGAAGAGCAGAACTGCAGCCTCAGGTGGGCAGGTTTGAATTTACTGTGCCTCTTCCTGGCTGTGTGTCTTTAAGTTGACTGCTCAGCCTCTCTGTTCTCAGTTTCCACAGCTGGAAAATAAGTTAATAATATGTCCTCACAGAGGGTATGAGAATTAAATGTAAAGATATAAAGCACCTAGTCAGAACAGATGCTTTATAGGAGTGCTGACATTGCTGTCCATTTAGAGAAAATTATATACCAACTTTTATAATGAAAGAAATATCTGGATTGCTCAAGGATGAAAGCTCCTGTGTGCGCACTGTCCACCCTCCCAACAGTTCCTTCTGCTCCCTGCTTCATTTCAGGTCCTTAGCTGCTTGCCTTAGGGTGGGGCAGGTTTTTCCTCTGCACATACCAAGCCTACCTCTCAGAAGGCACCTCTGGCTTTCTCTTTGAGAGACTTATAGATGTGTCTGATACGGTGCCTGACCTGGGTTCACATTCTCACTTGGCCCTCAGGTGACAGGGCACATATCTGAGCTTTTTCCTTCCACACACTGTGCAGGAGTGAGAGAATGCCAGTCTTAGCTCCTGTAGGGTCATGAGTTTTGAGACCTTTGATCAATTTTGCCGAAACCCAAGAACACCACTGTTTCATCAGGAGACACTGACATGTCATTTTTCACTATGGTTTTTTTTTTTTTTTTTATCTTGAGTGCAACACAGCTTCAGAAATCATTTTTGCTGTTTCTGGAATGAGCATATAGTGGTCTCGTTCATGTGGTAGATCTCAGGCACCACAATATTTGATTTTTCACAACTTATCTGAATCTGGGTCAAAAATATCCAATACTTGGATTTCTTTATTTTCTTCTCATTGCCTTTGCCAGTACTAGCAGGTGATTTTCTCTGCTGTCACAAGTGCTGACACTTGGTGGTCTCAGTACATACAGAAGCTGGTGCTCTCACAGGCCCAGAAGTTGGAAGTCCAAGGTCAAGGCGTTGGCAGAGTTGGCAGCCTCACTCCTTAGCTGATACATCTTCTCCTCGAGTCTGCATGTCTCCCTTGTGTATCTGTCTGTGACCTAACTCCTCTCAGACCGTGTGGATTAGCACTCTCCACGTGACCTCTTTCCCCCATCATTACCTCTTTAAAAGTTCTGTCTCTAGGAGGGATGAGGAAGAGATTGTCGATCAAAGAGTACAAGGGGTACGTGCTTGGTGACCACGATTCACATAATGTATCCTATATTTCAAAGTTACTACAAGAATAGACTTTTGATATTCGCACCACAAAAGAGATACATTGGTGAAGTGATGGATATGTTCATTACATTGATGGGCTCTTTCTACTGTATGTAGACCAAAATAGTGCATTGTATTCCATGAACATACACCACTATTATTTGTCAATTTAAATTCATAGAGTGATTGAAAAATATGATAAACATTAAAATTGTTTAAATAAAAAAGCACGTTGTCATTAATCTCTCTCAAAATACTCCTCCTGATCTGGAACAAATCCATCCCACCACTCTTGCCACTTTCGGAAGCAGTTCTGGAAGTCCTCTTTCGTGAATGTCTTCATGAGGTGTGATTAACAAAAACATAATGAACGCTGCTGCCGAGTGCCATCCAACAGGAAGGCAGGCTTCTAAAAACCTTAAGGTGTGTCCTCGCTCACCTGACTCACTGAATCCGGCACCTTAAGACTTCTGGCTTTTTCCCAAAGTCAAAACCACCACGAAGGGGAAACAATTTGAATTGATTCAGGATATCAAGGCGGCCACAACTGCATAACTAAAGATACAAAAAAGGACTGCCAGAGCTGCTTCAGAAAGCTGCAAGAAGGATGGGCTCAGTGTGCTTGAAGCAAGGGGGAGTATTCTGAGAGGGATTTAACGGCAATGCAGTTTTGCAATAATCAACTTTTTAAACATTTCAACACACATCATATTTTTCTATCATACCCCGTAATTTTAAAAACACTCTATCTCTAAAGATAGTCAAATTCTGAGTACTGAGGGTTAGGACTTCAACATAAAAAATTTGAAGAGGATACAATTCAGCAACAACACTTAGTTTTAGGGCTAACTTTACTCTCATAAGGAGACAGACCACCTTCACTTCCCAGGTAGGACTGTGAGCAGGTAACTGGAGACAAGAACAAAGTAGGCGAGGAGCAAAGAGGCATCGACGTGTGGCGCTTCTCAAACTTTCCTGTGTCCGTGAGTCACACAGGGAGCTTGTGGAAATGCAGATTCTAATTCCTCAGGTCTGAGAGGGACCTGAGATTTCCCATTTCAACAAGCTCTGGGCAGATGTTGATGCTTTGGTTCACAGATGACACTTTGAGTAGCAAAGAGTGTGATCCTTAAGTGCTGAGTGACTTTCAAACTCCCGCTTGTAGAAAAATTATGTTACCTTATGAAGCTTTGGGGTTACCTTCGAATAGATAAAATTCCTAATTTGAAACCTGTGGATGCCAAATTCTTTTCTCTGTCTGATATAGCGAGAAGCAGCCTGCAGCTGCGTTAACTCTCTTGTTTAGCTGAGTTGGCTGTTTTGTTTGAGCAGTCCGAGTGTCAAAGGATGCCCTTGCTGGGGCCTCAGCTGACAACCTTAACGAGCTATTGGACTGCATTTTCCAGACATGCTAGCTCTTCTCGGCTGGGCCTAACCACAGCAAGCCCAGGATTCTGCAGAGGGAGAGGAAACACAGGGCCGCCTCTGCATGCAATTAGGTAGCCATATCTCACTTGGGAAAAATGTCTCCTGAGCCCTGCTGATGCTCTGCCTAAGCAGCTCAGGATTTAGGACTGTTGAGAGAAAGATATAAATGTATTAGAAGGTCCCTGTCCCCCCACTCGATAATGTAAGGGCCCGTCTTCCACTGCTGGGTGCTGAGCTCTCATTAATGGAACATGAGTTATTCCCAGTTAGCCTTAGGAGAATATATTGAGCCCTAGCTACCAAAGCACCTTTTAGCTTTACTGACACATTTAGACCATCCCTTCTACCACAGTCCTACAGTGTACACACTACCACCAGCAGGGGCATCCTTACAGGTCCTCCTTGAGATGGGATACCGTAGGAAGGGGTTCTCTCTATTGGGGGTGTTGCTAATCCCCAGTTGTATTGCCTGATGACCAACAGACCCACCATCAAGGAACCGGGGTTAAAGGATGTGCAGGAAATGCAGAGAAACTGGTGCTGCTGAGCTCTAGTGATGACGGGTTTTGAAGCCTAGGTTCCTTCACCTGGGCTTTGAAATATGTTCAATAATAGCTGAGCCATTTCTACCTTTTGTGTGAAGCAAATGGGTAAACCAAGCATTGCTGAGCAAAAGGAGCTATAGTTTAAGCCCCGTGTACCTGGAAGTGATGACACTGTGCTTGTGAAATGGGCCGCACTTCCGCTGCATCTGTGGTTTTCTTTCTTTCTTTTCCAGCACCCCGGGCTACATATTTGGGAAGCGCGTCATCCTGTTCCTTTTCCTCATGTCCCTTGCTGGTATACTCAACTATTACCTCATCTTCTGTTTCGGAAGTGACTTTGAAAACTACATAAAGACCGTAACCACCACCATCTCCCCTCTACTCCTCATTCCCTAACTCTCCGCTGAATTCAGGGCTGGCACTCCCTGCTAATCAATACCTACGAGTCATCATAACTCAACCCTTTGCAGGATTTAGGTCCTCTTTAGATAGCTGTAAATCTGATGACTAGCTGGGCTTCACTGCTTGAGTTAACCTTGCTTTTCCGGGAAGAAAAGAAATGTCCTATCAGCTCTGCCCCTCAAACATGGCAGTGACGCCAGATTTATTATTCAAATCCATTCTGTGTATTGCATGATGTACCATTCTTTCTGAAGATTTTTTGTGACCAGGTCTATGTTTTCCTAAAATAAAATTCACAGACAAGTCTGAGGCTGATGGCTGTTTTTTGGGGGGTATACCTTTATAGTTGAATTAATTTGTTTTCTTCAATCTAAATGATAATAAAAATGCTTTATCAATCCTATGGATAGGGACTTCATAAAGGGTTTTTTATTGTCCAAGAAGTCCAAAACACTGCCACTATGTGGATTGGGTTGGTACCTTTATACCTTTTGTATCCAACGATTACCACCTCATGCAGTTTACAATGTATTGTAATTCCACGTGAGAGCCTAAAATAGTGCAAGGTGTCACCAAAGAGTGATTAAAAAGGGATAAATGAACAGATGAGTTTGTGAGTTACTGGCTGGTGGTGTTTAATGAAGTATGTATGTTGACCCATTCCCCACATTGTGGATAGATTTGTAGTGATCCAATCACTGCCACCCAGGGTGCCTGTGGTATAAAGAGCCCAACTTGGAAGATGGCAGGATAGCTGAAAGTTCGGGATGTCCAACAGGGGAAAGCCAGCCCTTGCAGGGCTGTGAAATTCATCTGAACTGAGCTTTATAGTTGAGGTGGCCAGCAATATATAGGCCCCCTTTCTCTCCCGCTGAGTATTGTGCTAACACCTCTTAGGAGGAGTGTGAACCTCCCCCATTGCCCTCTGACTTGATCATGTGGGGAGTGGAGTGGATGGGACCTGGGGCCTGGTGTGGTCTGAGATCTGATCACTGGGCCTCCTGTGTGACGCAAGACACAAAGATCTTTTAGTTCAAGGCGAAAGCTCTGCCTCAGTCTCTTTTGTGCTGTTATAACAGAATACAGCACCTGAGACTGGGTCATTTATAAAGAGAAAGTTCTTATAGTTCTGGAGGCTGGGAAGTCCAAAGTTGAATGGCTGGCTGTCGTGAAGATCTTTGTCTTAGTCACTTTCTTATCACTGAAACACAATAAATACCCAGCATTCACAGCTTAGAGAAGGGGACACTGATTTTGGCTCATGGTCATTGGGCTCCAAGGCAGAAAATGGCATGGCTGAGGAGGCGCTGCTTGTGTCACAGCAGCCAGGAAGCAGATAGCGATGTGTGGAGTGGAGGAGGTAGACACACATTTCCAGACCATACCTGCAATGACACACTTCTCCAAACAGACCCCACCTCCTCACACAAGTCAGCAATAGGGCCCCTATGATTCAGTCACCTTCCAAAAGCCCTGCCTATGAATGCATAAGAGTCTGGGGGTGGGGGGCTTTTTGATTCAAACCTTAACATTTCACCCTTCATTCCTCAAAGACTCATGCTCATCTTTTTATACCAAATGCATTTAAGAGTTACCAAAGGTTTATTTTTATTAATTAAGTTTATTGGTAGAATTTAGGTATACATAAGGATCACGTTCAATATAGGGAATTTGTACCTGCCGAAGCTTTAGCAGTACCAACGCTGCTGAAAAGTCCAAGTCCAAAGTCCCCTCTGAGACTCAAAGCAAACTCTTAGCTGTGAGCCCCTCTGAAAATCAAAAGGAAGGTTAGACATGGCCAACACACAATGGCACAAGGTAGACAGCCCCATTCCCCAAAGGAGAAATAGGGGATAGAAAGAAATCAGACCAAAGCAAGACTGAAATCCCGCAAGGCAAACATTACATCCAATAGCTCCATGTCCAGCATTTGGGGCAAGATGCAGTGACGTGAAAATTCCAAAGGGCTCAACCCCATTCTATGGCAAGGGCAGGGCTTTGCCTAATGGCTAGGCTAGGCACAGACCTGGCTGTATGGCTATGTGCACTTGTTCTTTTCTTGTGTGGTGACAAGTCTTAGGGACCACAGTGGTGACAACTCTCAGGGCTTATAAGAAACTTTGGGACAGGGAACCTAACATGTTCTCAACTTTTAGCAAGCAAGGCATCAGTTATGGAACTTGTTTTTTAAAAAATGCAGTCTGCTTAGTGTCACCTCAGAGCTATGATTTGGCAGGTCTGGGACAGGACCTGGGAATTCACATTCTTAGGAGGACTCTCGGGTTTCCCTGATGCTGGTGGTTGCAGACCACCCTTTCATGAGAGGTGTGATCTGGTGCCGCACCCAGCCAATATGGTAGCTACTTGTTTATGTGGCTCCTCAGCCCCCCAAATCCACTTCCTCTGAGCAGAGATACACTGTGAATGTGAAATGCATGCTGGGCTTTGAAGATAATATGGAGAAAAGTGCAAAATAACTGAATATACTTTTATATTAATTATACATTAAACTGGTAATTTTGTGGTTATACTGTGTTGAATAAAATGTAGCATCAGAATTAATTTCACTGGTTTCTTTTTTGTTTGTTTAATTTTAGGATATGTGTATGTGTGTGTGTGTGTGTGTGTGTGTGTGTGTGTGTGTGCTTTCAGTGCTAGGGTTGGAATCTAGGGCCTTGTACATGCATCAGTGAGCCATACCCCAATATTATATTTTTCTTAGTATGGCAATTAGAAAAGGTTAAGTGATGTATGGAGCTCGCATTATACTTCGGTTGGAGAGTACTGATACATAAGTTCCATAGAACTGGCAAAGCCTCAGGGCGAAAGAAAAGCTGGGCTTTGCTCTAAGAACTTATCTTTAGGCATGGCTTCTTGCAGGCAACACGGAAAAATGTGCCTATGAAAGTTAGCACAAGCGACACACCAGTTCTGCCTAAATCCGGGAAAGGGTTCTCTGAAGCTTGTTTCCACATGATAATGAGAGTGTTTCATTAAGTACTTCTGATCACAGATGTGGCACATTATTAAAATATCATTTTTACAGTCACCCTAGAGGCAAGGGTTATCTGAATATGGAGAGAGAAACAGCTTGTGGAGCTGTTGTATAAATGAAATTACCAGAAAGCAATGCATTCAATTGCATATTGGCTCAGGGGGGTTATTCTTATTAAAATGTTTAGAAAGGAGTTTCTGTTCATTTCTGCAGAATTGCTCTCCAAATTAAAAATTTGGCTTGGCACACCAATAGACCCAAGTCCCAAAAGAAGTGTAGCTGCCCTCTTTTCTTATCATCTTTACTAAGCCCTTCAAGGCTGTGCTGGTAGGTAGCATATATTGTCTGCATGGAAAGTATGTATTCATGTGGTTGCAGCTCTGGAAATGGGTGCTCTCTTCTATAGCCTAAAAGAAGTTGCAATACACTTCCAAAAAATGAAGTAATTCATCTAAAACAACAATAATAACTCTTTCTCTCTCCTGGTAATTTTTACAAACTAAACATAATGAAAATTGGCCTAAATAGCTGAAGAAGTGGCTGCAAAAAATGGGCTTGCTATTAATAGACTGAACCTGCTACATAAATAAAATGAAGTATCAGCCTTTGCAGAATTCAAACTAATAAACAACCATTCATCCAATCAATAAGAGGGCAAAAGAATGAACATTTGGTGCCCAGGTACTTAATTCGGTGCACATGCATTTGGGTATTCATTGTTAGCACATTCGCAACCATAACATGGCCACAGGCTGTCTAGAAATGTTTGTTCTCACATGGAGCCAGGAGGCCATCCCCACCACTCCCATAATCTTCCTCCCCTTGCTTTGATTTGAACCTTGTGTTCCCCTCCAAAAATTTTTACGTTGAAATATCCCCTCCCAACAGTGATGCTTTAGCAAGTGGTGCCTTTGGAGAGATAATTAGGTCATGAAGGCAGGGTCCTCACAAATGGGACTAGTGCCTCATAAAATACACTCAAGGGAGCGCTTCTGTCCCTTCCACCTTGTGAGGACACAGCGAGAAGGCACCACCTATGCACCAATAAACAGGACCTCACCAGACACCAAATCTACCGTGCCTTGATCTTAGACTTCCAGGCTCCAGAATTATGGGAAATAAATTTCTGTTTATTAGCCACATAGTCTATGCTGTTTTATTGTAACAGTCCAAGGGGACTAAAATACTCTCCAATCATATTTAAACTTTCAGTGCTTTGGCCAGTGACATATTAAAAGGGTGCTGGCCGTTGTGATTGACACCACAAGGCTCAATGGTTCTTACAATTTTCCAGGGTCAGAAAAAATCGGGGGAGGGGGAGTTGGAGGAGAGGTTGTGTGTGTGTATTTGTGTGTGGTGCCTATTGAGGGAAGAGCCACAGGAGCACTCTGGCCTCTGCTGACACATCCTTTCCATCTCTCTTTCAATCACCTGGGTTAATGGGGACCACAGAAAGCATTGCTAATGTCTGACCCTCACCTTGCTTTAACCCTTAGTTTCGAAGGCCCTATTCGCATGAGTTCCCTGACTTCATTCTTCCTGTGTGGTGGGGCTGTCATTGAGAAATTAAGGAGAAGAGTTCAGGCAGAGAAAGAAAGTGGGTCACTAGGAAGCTGAAAATTGCTTGTGTTACTTTTCTAGAATATTCCACTTTACCTCAGTGGGGGATTCCCACATGATATGTTATGATATAAGGAAAACAAAGCACTGAGCACAGGGCCTGGCCTTGATGAAATGCTAAGAGAAAAAGTAGTATTATTTATGACTTTTATTATTCTTTTTTATTGTTCTGTTTGAAGTGTTTTAAAGCACAGCATTAGCAAAGTTCTGACCGTGGAGATATAAGCAGTATTTAGTTTAGGCATGAGAAAGGAAAGGGAATGTCTGTGAAGAAGAGCCGGAATTAAAGAGGAGAAATGAAAAGAGAAAAAAAATCAACATAAAATGACAATGTTAAAGCAGCACTTATAGAATATGAAGAATTCAGAATCCGTTGTGGAGAGGTGTTTGTGTCTGAAGCTCTGTGCTTCATCCCAGGGGACACCGGTGTGACAGAGGGTCCTTATCTCATGGAAGCTGCCTTCTACTTGAGGAATAGACTCATAGAGAAAGATGGTCAGCAGTTTAAGCTACAGTGGGTTGGACCAGGAGGCGGGACTATAGGACATCAGAGTAGCCAGTGGTAGCTGCCAAAAGTAGTCAGGGATGGGGGCAGGGGTGTCCCTGAGGCCCAGGAAAAAAGACTGGGGTGGGACTGCAGTAGAATGGGAGCAGAGCATTAGGAGTGTCTCTAGAAGACCCTAAAAAACCATGA